AGGTGGGCTGAATTAAGGTAACTTTGGCCAGTAAGTTAGTCTTCCAGTAGCATTTGAGAAAGAAAATTCTGCATTCTTAAAAGGAATCCAAGAGAAATCTCTGTCTATCTCTCTCCCTCTCCTTTTCCTCATCTTAGCCTTTGGTGACAGTGATCATCTTAAGACCACAAGACAAAACCAATGCAGGGAGGAAGGCGGGAACTGAAAGAATAGAGGAGAATTGGAGAAAGAAGGCATTTCACCTGATGCCCAACCCAATTCTGGACTTTCAATTATGTGAGCCCTTGAAAATCCTCATTTAAGCTATGGGGAGTTGGTTTGTGCTACTTCAGCCACAGCATCATACTTATTAAAATTCTTTCCAGAGAGTTGAATAAAAAGCATATGTGGTCATAAACAAAGTACAAAGTAGTCTTTCAAAAGATTCTATACCAAGAGACATTATCCAGTGCTTCCCCAGATAGAGGAAGACTGAACAAAGTCCAGATTGACTAAATTAAGAATACAACCCAAATCTTTCTACTTTTGCCAAGAAGCTAAGAAAAAAAAAAATCATACAGAAAACCTATTATATGGAACATCTTATACCCTTTGAGACTCTAAGTAACTGATGTGCATGTAGTAGTAGTACTAATATTTTGTATGCCCAATTATCAAGTCATTCTTTAAGAGGTGCTATGATGGTTAGTGAAATAGCTGACCTGGGCATCCAACAGCACAGCCTTCATCTTCTTGCCTCATTGGCCTTTCCATGGCTTTTCTATGTATGGGTAGAAAAGGGCACAAGAAGAAGATGAGTTTCAAATGGATCACTTCTAGTGCTAGATATTATCATGGATAAAAGGTTCATGAGGGAGGAATTTTGGTTAATGGAGAGTATCTAAAATTTAAATAATATACGTGTTTTATATATTATTTATATTATATATTTATATTTTTATATATTATTAAGTAATATATATATGCTCATCAATTTACATAGCAGACAATCTCTGCACTACCACTACCACTCTCACCCCAGTGCTCTCTAGACACCTTCTCTGCTTATGTTCTTACTAGTATTTATTTTCTTAATATATATGCTTTAGTTATATCGTTGTTATTTTCTATATTCCTCCACTAAATTGTTAAGCTCCATGAGGACACGGATTGTTTTTGTCTGGTTTACTATTAACCTCTAGCACCTAGAATAGTGTCTGATATATAGAACTATATAACATTCATTTTAAAGATAAGTAAATTAATTCTTTATTTGCACAATTATAAGACAAGACATTTTATAAACTTGGTTTTAAATCAAAAATCGAAGCTTGAAAAAGCATATTTTCTGGTATTTCCTTTTAGTAAATAATTTTTAAGCATAAATTTACTTATTTTAAAATGTGAATCCACTCTGAAAACATTTAACTAGGGAAAGAGTATATTAAGGAACGTGTAGATTCACTCAATCTGGGAGTGAGAAGAGAATTTGGAAATGTTTTTAGGCCACAGACTTACCCTAAACACCTTGAAATTATAAAGATGTATTGTTTTTAGATGCACTTTTAAGTATAGATGAAGCATCCTATATTAAATCTAGGATCACATATCAGTACGTTTTGAAAGTGCTGCATTCAAAAAATGGTCAGTGCTTTCAAATTTTTCCCGGAAGAAATATGAGAGAAAAATATTCCGACTTCTAGGTTAATGCACAATGGACTGAAAGCATGCACTCATTTTTGTTCTTCTCCTTTGGGTGGTTACTTCCTTGCCTGCAAAAGTTGCATTCCTTTCCCTAGGCTGCAGCCACTTCCTTGGTTCCTTACCCCCTTATTTCAGTTATGGGAGAAGATGTTGTGGTCCAGTGATCTGCAGAATGCTAACAAGTGCTGAACAAGTGTGGAATCCATATGATTCCTTCAGTCCATTAGTTCTCCTAGAATGAAGTATCCAGTTTCTTTCAATAAATACCATCCGCTCCTTGTTCAAGGAGGTGCTCATGAGTAAAACTCTCTACTGCATGGCTCACGATCAAAGGGAGCTTGTTAAATAGGTCATCGAAGGGTTTTCCCAGCTAGGTGGCTGGAGTGCCATACTTACTCAGCAGAAGCTGGTAGTCAACCAGGGTGTTTATTCACTGAAGGTCAGGCTTTTGTATTATGAAACTTCTAGCAAATTTGATAAGCAGTAAATTGCAGATCTATCACTTCATCCCCCCAGAAAGTATGTGTGTATGAAATCAGCAGAATATTGCCTCTCTGTGATTTATGGCCCACTTTTGACCACCCCTTATCAGGTTCCCACAAGCACTTTTCTGATGCAGCTCATGTCTGAATGACAATAGACAAACCAGTGCCATTATGCACCAAAATCTCTCTCTGCATTCTAGACACCAAGATTACATCTGGGGTATTGATTTATTGCTGCCTTTTCCCCCAACAGGGACCAGTTTGTTCAGCCTGAACAAGATCGACTATTATTAAACGGAGCCAACAACTCTATGTGAACTTGGTAATAAAATAATCATTTACTCCCACCTTTCTAACAAACCGGGCATATAAGGAAATGCATGCGTTTAAATATTTAGGCTGTTTATTTGTCTCTGCTTGTCTCTTTTTTAAGTATGCAAAGTAAGATAAAACAGGCCTTTGGAGGTAGGGAATCTTTGCAGTGTCTTGGATGTTGAAACACAATGTGCTTCTTTTTATGAACCACACTGAAATGATTACAAATCTCTGCTTTGGTGTGTATTTCTGAAACACCTACTGTATCTGTAGCAATGAGGTTTTATGACAGCTTGAACAGTTTCTGCAAAATTTATATGTTCTACCACTACATCATTTTGGGGAGCGATATAAATTTTACAGCACATCAGAGTTTTATATTACCTACAAACGCCTGATGTAGGATTCACATTAGGTAGGCCCCACATCCACCCACAGTTTTCTATTCTTTAGGGTATTTATGTTTGCCAGGCAAAGAGACTTCAACACTTTTCTCTTTACAAATGATCATTCCTCCTCCCTCGTTACCTTTCAGTTTAACATCATTCGCTCTGACTATTTGTCTCTGGGAGATTCACCCACGCTCTCATCAATTTACATAGCAGACAATCTCGGCACAATTTCTGCTTTCTAGCTCCCACATATGGGGAGGGTGGTGTTTCCAGAGCCACCAAAGACTTGAGTGAGGTAAATGAAAATCAAAGAAGGGAATCTTTATGTCTCTCACTTTCTGAACTCCCAGTTGGTTTTTGTGTTCTGACAAGTGGCCCTGGAACACAATACTTAAAATCACAAGTGGCCATGCAACACAATACGTAAAATCATAACTGCCTTAAGAAATCTCAGCATGTTTTTGCAAAGTCTGTGGGAAAATTCTGGGATCATGATTCCAAAGATTTAGATTCACTGAAATTAGGAAAAGGACAAGTTAATTCAGAATCAAAGTTGTAGCTGAACCTTTGTTGAAGATCTTAGCAGTAAGCCACCTTATGAAAAATGTCTGCCACACCTGTTCCCTGGCTCTGTAATCTCTGTCTTTAACATTTCCCAGTCCTATCATGGCTGAATTTTGGCAGTTTCTCATCTCATAATGAATGGGGAAGAAGTTGTGGGTTGGAAGGAATAGTGGGCTTATATAGTTTGTCTGTTTTACTGAAAAGCCATTCTTATTGCCTACCCCCACCCCTCACCTCACTCTCTCAAAAAAATTCTGCTCAATCTACTCAGTCAAATCTTGGTTTGAGTAGTACTGGGCTTGAAACCTCAACTTACAGCAGCAGATATGTGGCTTAAGTCTAGCCAATTGGATTTTCCTTGTGCCCATGGAATCATAATCTTTGCCAATCACATGGTTCAGGGCTGCCAGTGGCCATCTGGAGGCCACATAGGAAAAGCCTGTCTGAGACTGAAACCCGGAAGAGCCCAGAGATGGATACAAAGTGCTAAGACCTCCACTGAACCTCTGAATACAGCATGCCTAAAGCCTACTCCACTTTTTAGACTATTTATTTATGACATCCCAATAAATGTCCCCTCTTGACTTAAGCCAATGAATACGAGGAGCAGGGTAGATGCCAACACCTGAGGAGTGAATTCCCATAAACCACATTATACTTTGGACACCTCACGTGTATGCTTTTTACACAACACACAAGGTCATTTGTCTCTTTATAACCTGTGTTATGGCCATTCATAAGTTATGACATTGTGAAACAAGAAGTAAAAAAGCAAAGGATTCTACTAAAACAAAGTGTTGTTCCATCCTGATGGCAATTTCTGTTTTAGCCAGCCCAGGAGACCACCAGCCTGGAGTAAGATAAGACCAGAGGCATCTAGATTTAATCTCCAAGCAATAGGGAGCCAAGATAAGTATTTGAGCAAAAGCGTCACAATTGAAGATTTGCTTTTTTTTTTTTTTTTTTTTTTGAGACGGAGTCTCACTCTGTCGCCCAGGCTGGAGTGCAGTGGCCGGATCTCGGCTCACTGCAAGCTCCGCCTCCCGGATTCACGCCATTCTCCTGCCTCAGCCTCCCGAGTAGCTGGGACTACAGGCGTCCGCCACCTCGCCCGGCTAGTTTTTTGTATTTTGTAGTAGAGACAGGGTTTCACTGTGTTAGCCAGGATGGTCTCGATCTCCTGACCTCGTGATCTGCCCGTCTTGGCCTCCCAAAGTGCTGGGATTACATGAAGATTTGCTTTCTAAGAAGCTAAGACTGCAAGTCTGTAAAAGAGGCTTGACAATAGAAAGAGATTTGTGCAAGGGACAGTTCTTAAGCCAAGTAGAGAGATGATGCTGGCCTTAGCTGAGGCAGTGGCAAGAAAAGGGGACGAGAGAACCAGTTTTCAGAAAGTTTCAGAACTCAGTAATTAAACAAGTAGATGTGGGAATGGAGGTATCAGAATTTCTAGTAAAAAGACAGAAAGGTAGTGATGATATTAATCATCCCAAAAAAGAGGAGAAGCACATATTAGGCAGGTGGAAGGAGGAAGGGATGGTAGTTTTCTGAGACAACTCACCTTTGATGATAAGTTTACTGTCTTTAGGAGAACCAGGTGATGATGTCCAGTGATCAGTTGGCAATATGGGTCTGGAAGTATAAAGAGATATTATGGCTGATGACATTAATTGTAGGTGACATCAGCATGGAATGGCAGTTCAGTCACGGGGATGAATGCATTCACTCATAGAAAACTTGCATGGGGAGCCATGGAGGGAAAAAGAGCAGGCACTGGGGAGCCACTGACATTTAAGGGGTGGATTCAATCTGAGGAGACAATGAAGGAGACCAAGCAGGAGCAATCAGAGACCAGGCAGGAGAACCAGGAGAAAGTAAGTCCTCAAGGATTAAAATGGAGAGCATATTCACAAAGAGGAGAGTAGTCTACGATCATTGAATTTACAAATGTGACAATATCACTGACTTTCTCAATTTACTTACAAATGAGTAAGATACAAACAACCCCAAAACACATCTGTTGGAGGGGCCATATGGGAAATGGCGTTACTATAGAACTGGCTTTTTGGAGGGAAAACGTCCCTGCCCAGTGACAGTAACACAGCTGAAGATTTACTCAACATCAGCCAGCAAACTATATCATGCCCTTTCCACTTTAGAATGTTCTTTTTGCTTCCCATCCAAATGTGATCAACCCTTATGGGCCATGCTCTGCTTCTCATCACTCAATTCCTATTCTTCTCACGCCCACACACACGTCCTCTCTGCACCACTACCCCCACCTGTACATTACTGTGAACACTTGTTACATGCCACACACTCTTCCGTGCACTTTGCATATATACCAGTTTATTTAATCCTTCCTAAGACTCTGTGATGGAGTCACTATTACTACTTTCATTTTGTACCTGAAGTCACTGAGATGCTGAGATGTTAAGCAGTTTTCCAAGCTCCCACAACTTGGAATGTCAGAGCCAGGGTTTAGCTCTTATTATACATTGATCTATTTTTGTGTGTGCATATGTTTGTGTTATGTTGTATTATATGGGAACTTTCAGTGTAACTTGCAAACCCGTTGAAAATATTGCCAAAATCTTATACTTTAAAATATTCTTTGCCTTCAGTAATAATAGCTAATGTTTATTAAGTACTTTCTAGGTTCACAAACTTATGCTAAGTACATGCATTCCATTTATTCTAGTCAACCCCAATGATGTGGATAGGGTTATTTTTATTTCTCTTTTACAAATGAGGGATTTGAAGTTTGGGGAAATTAAGTAACTTACTCAAGGTCACCAGTTAGTTGGTGGTCCACCTTGGATTTAGACTCACATCAGTGCTAACCTCTATATTATATTCCCTCATATACAGTTGCTTATATGCAGTAGTCTAAATAAATGAAGAACTTACTGATTGACTGTAACCATATATGTGACTGCAGGGGTGCAAACTCACTCCTTGAATGCAAAATTCATCCTGCTTGCCGGCCTGTCCCAGTTCCCTTCTACTTTCCATCTAGTGGGAAACTTCTGAGTATGGCTATCATCACATTTTAGATTCAAAACTACAGTGGAAGCTCAATTATCCAAACAAATCAGGGCTCAAAGGTACTCAAGCATGCAGTGGGTTTGACTAATACAGTTTGAAGATTTAAAAAAAGAAATAGAACAATGAAAGAAATGTTCAATTTCAGCATGTCAAGGCATAAAAGATAAAGGAAATTGGCTTTAGGGAGTCATTTGAATAATGGGACAGTTCAAATAAAGGATGTTCAGATTACTGAGTTTGCACTGTGTTTAATCTACCATAGAGAGAGCTGCACTCTAGAGCATTTGCATTGGCAGTAGGCACCCACTCTCAACATTCAGCTCAGCCATACTCTCTTCTCCAATTTCCTTATCTCATCTTTATACCATGGATGGTCTCAAATGCTTTTTGTCACTTTGCAGATGAGGAAATCCCTTAAGTTACGCTTTTTGTGGAATGCAGTTAATCAGCAGTCGAAAATAAAATCCATTCCACCTGATCTCCTTTTCCAGGTTGAGACCACATTGTTACTTTCTTTCAACAGAAGCCCTAGGAATAGTCACAGCAAGGATAGTAGGTGGTTTGCCAAGTGCCTTCTCAATACCTCAGTCTCCCATTGGATGATTTACCTGAAGCACTGTCCAGATGGTCGACCTGACCCAGGTCTATCATGGTGTGGTGGAAGAGAGTGAGGAAGGAGGTGCCTTGGCTTTCCCAATGTGGAAGGCAGAGGTTCTATTCATTCATGCCACATACTGCTCCACTTCTGAGGCATGGAATGCACCATACTTAGGGTAACAGAAGAAGAAAGTTGATCAAGGGGGAGTTTTACCAGCCCTCAATTGGATTATTTGGACTATATAGGAGAGATGCTTTTAGCATAAAATCATTTGTTAGTGTGAAATGTCTGGTTGTCTAGTGAATATTCCAACTGCAGGATTTGAATAGTTCGTCTCCTATCATCCAAATGAAATAGAATGGCTGAAACCTAGGAAATTAAAAAAAAAAAAAAAAAAAAAAAACCCTAGAAAAGAAAAAAAAGGAAAAAATCTCAAAGATGAGCCAAAGAGTCAGGGGATGGCAGGTAGGTGGGGAAAGTCCAAACAAATTAGGATTATCCTCTATTCATCTCAGTAATGTTGGCTACATGGAGGTTCCTGGAAACTTAGGTCATAGAATTTGCCCAGGACACTGAGGAACGAGAGGAGTCATTTTTATGTCTCCACCTCCACCCTGCTTTTTGTAGATTCTACGGCTGAAAAGACATGACAGGAATTTGAAATAATAGTCTGTTTTATAAAACTCTGAGGACTCCATAGGCATGCCACAATAGCAATAATAGGAATATTTAGTAATATAACCAGTATTTAATACAATGACAAATGTCAGCCCAACTTTCCTTTATCAAGATTTCATAGAGGCTTACCTAGGGAAGTGCCATTCCACACCTACTTCTGTACAGAGAAACATGCTCAGTGCCTCCACTCCCAGCCCAACTCCCGACCTGAGCTCTACATACAATGACCCAGGTTTCTGGAGTTAGCTATTACACTGCTAAAAGCTTTTTTTAAAAAAAATGAGAATGAGCATTGGCATTTTGTACAAGACTACCTTCATAATCTGAGCTGTGTTCCTTGGCTATTCTTTTTTTAACTTTTATTTTAGGTTTGAGGGTACATTTGAAGGTTTGTTACTTAGGCAAACACATGTCACAGTGGTTTGTTGTATATATTATTTAATCACCCAGGTATTAAGCCCGGTGTCCAATAGTTATCTTTTCTGCTCCTCTCCCTCCTCCCACCCTCCCTCCTCATTAGACCCCAGTGTCTATTTTCCCTTCGTGTTCATAAATTCTTATCACTTAGCTCACACTTATAAGTAAAAACATGCAGTATTTGATTTTCTGTTCCTGTGTTAGTTTGCTAAGGATGATAACCTTCAGCTCCTTCCCTGTTCCTGCAAAAGATATTATCTTGTTCTTTTTTATGGATGCATAGTATTCCATGGTGTATATGTATCACATTTTCTTTATCCAGTCTGTCACTGATGGGCATTTAGGTTGATTCTATGTCTTCCCTGTTGTGAATAGTGCTGCATGTGCATGTGTCATTATGGTAGAATAATTTGAATTCATCTGGGTATATACCCAGTAATGAGATTGCTGGGTCAAATGGTGCTTCTGTTTTTAGCTTTTTGAGGAATCACTATACTGCTTTCCACAATGGTTGAACTAATTTACACTTCTACCAACAGTGTATAAGTGTCCCCTTTTATCTGCAACCTCACCAGCATCTGTTATTTTTTCCTTTAACAATAGCCGTCTGACTGCTGTGTGATGATACCTCATTGTGGTTTTGATTTGCATTTCTCTAATGATCAGTGATATTAAGCTTTTTTAATGTTTGTCAGCCACATGTATGTCTTCTTTTGACAAGTGTCTGTTCATGTTCTTTGCCCACTTTTTAATGGTGTTGTTTGTTTTTCTCTTGTAAATTTAAGTTTCTTATAGATGCTGGATATTAGATCTTTGTCAGATGCATAGTTTGCAAAAATTTTCTCCGATGCTGTAGGTTGCCTGTTTACTCTGTTGATAGTTTATTTTGCAGTGCAGAAGGCCTTTAGTTTAATTAGATCATATTTTTCAATTTTTGCTTTTGTTACAATTGCTTCTGGTGTCTTTGTTATGAAATCTTTGCCAGTTGCTTTGACCAGGATGGTATTGCCTAAGTTATTGTCCAGGGTTTTTATAGCTTTGGGTTTTACATTTAAGTCTTTAATCCATCTCGAGTTGACTTTTGTGTATGGTGTAAAGCAAGGGGTTCAGGTTCAATTTGCTGCATATGGCTAGCCAGTTATCCAGGCAACATTTATTGAATAGGAATTCTTTTCCTCATTGCTTGTTTTTGTCAACTTTGTTAAAAATCAGATTGTCATAGATGTACGGTCTTATTTCTGGGCTCTCTATTCTGTTCCACTGATCTATGTGTCTGTTTTTGTACCAGAACCATGCTGTTTTGGTTACTGTAGCCTTGTAGTATAGTTTGAAGTCAGGTAATGTGATGCTTCCAGCTTTGTTCTTGTTGCTTAATATTTCCTTGGCTATTTGGGCTCTTTTTTGGTTTCATGTGCATTTAAAAATATTTTTATATTTCTGTGAAGAATGTCCTTGGTAGTTTGATAGGAATAGTATTGAATCTATTAATTGCTTTGGGCAGTATAGCCATTTTAATGATATAGATACTTCCTATTCATGAGCATGGGAGGTCTTTCCATTTGTTTGTGTCATGTTTGATTTCTTTGAGCAGTGTTTTGTAATTCTCATTGTAGAGATCTTGTATCTCCCTGATTAGCTGTATTCCTAGGTATTTTATCATCTTGATACCAAACCTGGCAGAGACACAAGAAGAAAAGAAAACTTCAGGCCAATATTCTTGATGAATATCAATGCAAAAATCCTCAAAAAACTTGCTGAGTCCAGCAGCACACCAAAAAGCTAATCCACCATGATCAAATAGGCTTCATCTCTGGTATGCAAGATTGGTTCAACATATGCAAATCAATAAATGTGATTCATCACAAAAACAGAGCTAAAGACAAAAACCACA